CATCATCGTTTTTCATATTTAACAGTGAGAATAGTAGAACTAGGGGACACAAATATAAGGTAGGAGTCATATTCAGCTAAGATAGTTTTATTTTTCAAATAAGGTGGTTGGCCTTTGGAATGGATTGCCTTTGGATGTTGTAGAGGCAGAAAACTTAAGTGAGTTTAAAAGAAAGCTTGATAATTATATGAATAATAAGGACTGGATTTGGGGTTTTTTGTTTTTATTATTATTTAATAGGTTTGATTTAGTTTAGAGAATAGGGTAGCCCTAGATGGACCAATAGGTCCCTTGTTGTCCCTAAACATTATGTTATGTTAAAATGATAAGTTAAATAGATCTACAAGAATTTTAAAACATTTGTACAATGATGCTATAAGCTGAATAAAAAAAAAGCTAGCACTAGCAATAACTACCAACAAGAAAAAAAAATCATGATCATATTTCAACATTGTAAAAGATGCTATACATAAAATGTTTATACTTGAATGGCAAACAACTAAATGAACACTCGAAAAGCAACAGTGCTGGCTTCCAGCTTTCATCTGAGGGTGAAATATGAATTATAAAACCTCTCACCAAAAGTAGATAATTCTATTACATTTTTAGATGACTGACCATTATTTTGTCCAATAAGTTTCACCATTAATATATAATCGTTTTCACGATTTATAAATTGTTAGTGTTACTAAATAGACCTTCCCCTTTTGAAGCAGACAATAAATATTATAGCTCTCTTGCTTCTCAGTATTCAGTGAACAGCCACATATAATTGCAGGCAGCACACCAGAATATATAAATAAACATTTCTATTACTTCACGAAAACTTATAATATTAATAATTCTGAATTTAGGTTACTATTTTAACAGAAGTCTATTCGTCAATTCCGAATCCATCATCATATATCAGAAACAGTATGCATTTCTTTACTATTAAATTCTAAAAAAAAATTTACCAAAAACTCACGTTAACTCGTGCTTTAAGCTTAACTCGTAGTCTTCTTCATCATCAAAACACAGTCAGTGGGCGTGAGAATAGCCTAGTACTACTAGTAATACTAATAGTATTAACACACTTGAGTCGTTAAAAACTTGGAACATCGTTCTATTAAATTCAAATAACTGTGTTCATCTTTACCTTAAAATCAGACCCAACCTAAAAAAAACGTATCCCCTTACTCGTAGTATCTATTAATACCAGGACTACATTTTACGATTCTCAAATTGGCGGCTAGCTTTCACTCCAATCGATAAATAATCTCCTGCAGCTGTTCGAGGACCCGGATGTTTATTGCTTTAGTTCAAACTACTGTGCAAAGAGGGCCCTAATATATAAATTCTCACTAGACTCATAAAAATAATTCGCAAAAACTTATAAACTTCCCTGATGTCAATGAATAAAGAATAAAATGTTTGGTACAAATGTATAATTTATTTATTTTTACATGATACATTAAATAGCCATATATTATCAGATTCTCACTCAAAAATATTTTAACAATGAATCGCTAAAACTATATTTCAAGCCACTTTGTAAAAATAAAACAAAAACTTAATTAATACATTTAAAATAAGTTTCCTGTAGCTTGTTTGTTTTGAATTTCGCGCAAAACTACACGAGGGTTATCTGCGCTAGCCGTCCCTAATTTAGCAGTGTAAAACTAGAGGGAAGGCAGCTAGACATCACCCACGCCCCCACGGCTGAAAGGACGAGCATGTTTGGTGGGACGGGGATTCGAACCCGCGACCCACAGATTGCGAGTCAAGCGCCCTAACCACCTGGTCATGTCGGGCCCATAGGGAATGTGAAGCTGTGGGAATGAAAGAAAAAATAACGTCTGTAAAAGGGACAAAATAGTTAAAACATTTCAGGGGGAATCTTTTGCACAGAGAGGAAACTCCCCCTGTACACCTCCTGAATTCAACACTGGTGTGTGGGTGGGTGTCAGTTAGAGGGGAAGATTTAACTAACCCGCGACCCTCAAATTGCGAGTCGAGTGCTCTAACCACCTGGCCATGCCGGGTCATTTTCCTGTAGCAATGAAGGAATTAGAACTGTAAATTTCAAACTAATGAAAAAGATTAATAAGCAGGCACTAATGAAATAATACATTAACCCATACCCTAAATTAGCAATGAAAATGTCAAATTACCAATGAATAAGACAGTCAACTCTCACTTTTAGAAATTCTTCTAGATAACTTTTAGTAATGCAGTTGGGTCACGCTAAAGAAAGTTAATCCTGAAAAAATCAAATTTTAATTCAATGTGTAATAACTAAGACTATTCAAACACACTATAAGATAAATATTAGCAAGTGAACGAAGATGAAACGTTGCAAAAGTATTATAAAAATATAGTAATATTAAACAAACTTGATTTACATGGTCTTCTATAGATTGTGTTTGTTTGTTTTAGAATTTTCACGTGTTGTCTGGACATAATTGTTCTTAATTTTGAACTAAGCACCCGCTATCAACTCTTGACTTATTTTCTCTGACAGTATAGTAAGATTCGACCGTCTTTCGTTAGAGCTCCCATTGCCACAAAATTTGGAACAAGTTTTTATGGTAATGAACTGCGAAAAAAGAACCCTCAGATTCACAGTCCGATCACGCTAGCCACTACTAGGTCACGCCTGATCATTTTTTACATAGTGCTAAAATTTAGTGTCAGAAAAGCAAATAATAATACTAATGTTGAAGTGCAAATGTTTGAAACTTTTTAGAAACCTTATTGATGAAATCAGCAAAAGTTCTCATTCATTTAGCTAAAAATTTATATTAAATATATTTGTTTGTTTTATTGAATTTCGCACGAAGTTAATCGAGGTCTGTCTGAGCTAACCTTCCATAATTTAAAAGTGACAAACTAGAGGGAAGACAGCGTCAACACTATCCGCGGAAAACTATTTTACAACTAAAAGCATGATTGGCCGTCACATTATAACATCTCCACGGCTGAAAGGGCGAACATGTTCTGTAACGGGATTCAAACCAGCGAGTCGCAGATTGTGAATTGAGCGCCCTAACCATTAGCCCATACGAAGCCTATAGAGTATAAAGATATCAGAATTTAGCGACAGGATAAGGATTCTGAAGGTCATATTTTAGATTCGCAGAGATGGAACATGAACACTTTGAAAAATATATATATAGTAGTGCATAACACATTATTTCATATTTGAATAAACTTCTTCGATTACCCATTAAATTACTGTCTTTTCCTTGATTAAATATAATAACAAAAGATTAACTGTATGCAAAATCATTTCTGTAAAATAATATATTATAAAATTTTCTCTGAAAAACAAATTATTTGAAAGTTTCATGCTGACTTATAATTATAGACTTTTAACCGCTTAGATCAAATAATATACTATTTTTAAAGTTTCTGTTTATTTAGTCATCTTATCTAGAGGCACTTAGTGACTCCAGCCATGTTAGAACATAGCTCTATACAAAATTAAAGTTCTGTTCAAATATTGGGTATTGCCACAGATCTGAACACTCTATCATTACATTCAAAATAACCGCTTCATACCTATTTTAAATTAAAAGAAATAAGCAGTCAAAAACTAGTAATTAATATTATTATTCTTTTCCTTGTTGAAGAGACAAAACATTTAGTAAACAAAGGAGGGTCGGCGCGAAACAAAATTCGACGGGTTGATATCCTAGGTGAATGACCCAGACAGAAGGTAACTAGGGCGAAATGAACTTAGCCACTTCCTTGACCAAAGTTCTACGTTAAACTTATATGCAAAAATATGCATGGAATTATTGAAAAATGTGGTGAATTTAATAATAATTAAATAAAGGGATATAAAATATGTAGTATGCTTGCATACTACAGATACTTAACCCTTACTTTAATACATACTGCACTGTTTGTTGGTTGACTTAAAAAACAACATTTGATTAGTTAATTAATCAATCCATTTTACGTTTCTCGTTACACATTAATGTAGCTTTTGCAGCAGATCAAGTACAACTTAAATTAACGTAGCCAGAGTAGTATGTATTCTTACCACGGGCAGCAGGAATTTTTCCTGGAAGGAGCAAATATTTTTCATTTTCCAGCCCTCCAGCGGACGCTCATGGTACTAACTGTTACATGATCGATCATGTACTACTGATACATCCGGTAAAATGATTAAATTGATATAGTGTATCTTCTTACCGCAAGAGAATGTCTAATGGTAATGATTTAAACATATTCACAATTCATTTAAACTTAATGTTTTGTGTCATATAATGTTCGCCTAACGTTATTTCTTTCAAATTTATTGTTGACGTGTAATGTTCTACGAATACTTCCTAGTGAAGGAGAGCATTAAATAAAATTAGAATAATGTTTTAATTTGTTTCTAAAGTAAGGTAAAAAATAAACCATGCTTTCATTTCTGCAACTTCAAATATTTGTCTTAAAAATTCAATTGCAATGAATGTTATCATTTTAAAACGATAAAGATAAATTTTAATGAAGGTTTAAGTGACGTTTATGTTACTTGTTGTCCTGAACAAGTGATTCACGAATATGCAGAGTGATTCTTAATTCGCGCGTCATTATCGGATCACGAAAATTGGAGGATGATATGCATTCTTCAGTCACCGTAATTCTGTCAGGATGCTTGCAAGCGATAACAGTGGCTGTTACGTTTGTTTGTTTGTTATGAAGTTCGCGCAAAGCTCCACGAGGGCTATCTGCGCTAGCCGTCCCTAATTTAGCAGTGTAAGACTAGAGGGAAGGCAGCTAGTCATCACCACCCACCGCCAATTCTTGGGCTACTCTTTTACCAACGCATAGTGGGATTGACCGTCACATTATAACGCCCCCACGGCTGAAAGGGCGAGCATGTTTGGTGTGACAGGGATTCGAACCCGCGACCCTCAGATTGCGAGTCGAGTGCCTTAACCACCTGGCCATGCCGGGCTGGCTGTTACGTCTACGTTCGCTATGCAAAAAAATTATCTCTATGCGCTCTGCAACTCCTTCTGCTCCACCTATTGAAGATGTGTAGGCATCAATCGTGTTTAACAGCTGAACAGCGCTCAGCGATAAATGTCTTTTCTTTTGCGTGTCATCCTTCAATTTTCGTGATGTTACGACAATGCTCCGTGAATTATTAATCATTCTGCATACTTTTGTTATTGTATTTTGTACATTCGTGGTGACGTCATTAAAGTTGCAAGTTTTACGTATAGACGATAGAAATAACGACAGCAGAAACGATAAAATATGTATAACATTTATTGTTGTCCATTCTTAAATAGTGTTCACACCCTTCAGCAAAATTACATTTTCAATTGAAGCCACAAAAAAAATTAAACACATGTAAAAAAATATGAAATATGCAAATATATATGTATATATATATATATCCATACATACATATATAAAATGCTACTTGATATTTTATTAATGTCTAGTAAAATACTGTTTATTTCAAAGATGAACCAAAGAAAATTAATTTCTGGACAGACAATCTTTAAATATCCCTGGTTTATTACAAACGCCATCTGTCGTCATTTCAAGTAGTGACAATGCAAATATCACAATTCAGGATAATAACTGGTTAGTTTTATATTAATGTTTGCACGCATAAGAAGCTAAAAAAATGTTTTTCTTTAATTTTTGGCAAAATCTCCTTCTTAAAATAATTGGTTATGCTAAATAAAACAAGCATGATTTATTAGATAAGAAAAGTTTAGAAAATAATTCGTTCTAGGCCACTTTTTAACTTTTAAAAATATAGATAAATTAAGAGAAGACTGTTAACAAGCAGGAACTAAAGGAATATAGTACCCCTTATCCTACCAGTGAAGGAGTGGCAGGAGCTATATTCCCTATAAAAATAGCCCCAATACCATGACAAGATGCTACTTATTTCATTGTATATGTGACTCGTGTAAAACTTAGTATATATTTCCCTCAAACCATAACATTTTAAAGTTAAAAATCAATCATTATGATTATGATTTGGCTTTAAGAACAAGTGACACACTTTTCAGACGTATGGCGTATGCACACATGATAGACGATGTAATGTGGGAGAAAGAAAAAAAAACACACAAAATATTGAAAATGTAGCCTTAGAAAATCGAATTAATAATACGTATCTAACAACTGACGACAGTCTCGATAAGAAATTTCTACGATAACCCCAACTGATTCCTTTCTTTCCTTCAAATCTTCACTGTCATAAATGTAGGGACATAAAAATTGATTAAATGTCTTCGAAAGCCGAATTCAAATTAATTTATTTTCTATTCAGGATCTCTT